AACTGGTGCATCAGCGTCGCACACGGTGGGCGATTGCTGTAGCAAGCGGGGATCTTTGCAGGCCGGCTGGCCTCAGCCGAAGCAAAATCAATTGACAGATCCCGTTTCCGCTCAAAAGGTTGAGGATCTCGTACAGCTGTGTCGATGCGGTGCTGCGGAGGCTGAGATCGAGGCGCCACGGGATCGTCCCCTGAGAGTCATCTGGGAGCTGATCTCTATTCATGGACTTGAGGGCGGAGAAGCATTAGATCAGGTCTCCCTGACTTGCCAGCTGGGATAGCTGGATGGTGATCTCCTGAATTTTCTCGTGCGGTAGTGGCTGTTGTTTTGTAAGTCGTAGGCATTTGGCCGCCGAGTCCCATGACAGGTAATTCCAGGCATTCTCTGGAGTCAGGATGCCCTTCTGTCTGAGAGCTTGCACCAGGGGATCGTCCTGGTTGTCGTACTTCAGCTTCGTCAATCTTTGGATCAGGAGTTCGACCACTTTGAGGAAATTGACCTGGCGGAGAGAGCAGGTGACTCCTGTATTTTATCTTTGATGATGCCATTCCTTGGCTGCTAGGATCATATCCGGGAGGATCGAACCTTTGTCGGCCTGGAGAAACAATAAGAAGCTGCGGTCCAAGGCCATCTGATTGAGCATATCCTCTTGGCGCAAGGTCAGCTTGGCCAACATCATCAAGAGCTCTGAATCCCCTTCGTGCCTCGAAGAGGTGGTTGAGGAGTCTGATCGGTGGTTCGATCTGCCTTTCCCAACTGCTTTGCCTTGCGATGATTCCACCTCTGTACGAGGGCACTTGAGATGAGCCTGACATGTATCCAGAAGGTCGGCAAATGACATGTCGTCCATCGACATATTGTCCTCCATGATCGAAAGCGGCTGGTGACAGGACAAAATCTCTGGCCAGGGCATGCTCGAATTCAAGGATTGCTATACAAAACCAACTGACTTGATCATGTGGGTCTGTGTCCAAGTCTATCGTGCGAGGATCCCACCAAGAGTCAGGACTATCTGAGTTCCAGGCCCAATGCAAGGGGAGCGATTCCACAATCCAACGAATAATGTAGGGCGCTGTGCCCATGTGCAATGCAACCTGAGGCAAGTCCGGAAAGTGAATTGTCCACCGCATGATAAACGTGTACCAAAGCAGGCGGCTTCAGGTCGAAATTGGATGCATTTATCGATTGGTTCATGCACATGATGCCTCAAGGCCATGGTCGAATGGCTGTCAGTTCCGAACAGGAAGCCGCAGGTCCAAGTCTGATGGATGCCCTGAGTCGGCAGCGGAGGCGGGTCATGTTGCAGGCTTTAGGATGGGACAATGTCGACCTTGGGACCATAATATGCATCCCTAACCCAATTGATCAAAAGGACCGGGCATGTGCCTCTGTCAAAATGATTCTTTAGGGCGAAAACCCTGGTGAAGCTAGCTTTACAATGCATACAGCTCAAATGTCCAGGAAATATATCCAGGTTTGGTCGAAAGGGAAATAAGCTGGGTTTGTCAACTTGATATACGTTACGAAGATGGCTAACAACAACTTTACGTCCCAGGTGCTCAAAACACAACGGACATTCATACTCTTAAATAAGAACCGGAATCTCGGTCGTCGTGGCACGAAATCGATGGGCAATAATATCAACACCAATAAGACGACCTCTCTTGGCAGATGGAGGATCTATATCAAATATAATATGAAATGAATATTTTCAATAATCGCATTAATTAATAAGAAAAAAATCTAACAAAAATTCCTTGATAAATAAATATCCAATCAATTAATTTCATTATTTGTTTTTCGAACACAACAATATATAATAACTTATTTATCATTAAATAAATAAATATTAATCATAAATATAATATAATCATTCGTCCCTTATATTAAATAATATTTTCATTGCATATAATATATTATATTCCCTAAAAGAATTAACATATAAATATAGTAATTTTCAAAATCCTAAATAGAAATATTTAAAGACAATAAAGATGAAAACGAAGCAAAACAACAATACAACATTTTTATTCCGTAAACGCAAAATATTATTAAATTATTAATTAAATCAATCGAATACTAAAAATAATTATTCTATTTTCTAGGCATTTAAAATATTTGCTTTCAAAGACGAAAGAAAAATCGAATAATTTCTTTCAATTTCAATTTTGCGAAGGAAGACATTATAAAATAATAAAATCAAAAATGAGAGGTATTAAAAAATCAAGAAAAATGTAAAAACACGATAATAATATAATATTTTTATACACAATATTATTGGCCAAATCAACCGAATACAAAAAAAATTGCGATTTTCATATTAAATTTTCTAAATATTTAATATATTTTCTTATAAAGACGAAAAATAAATTCGAATAACCTCTTTCAATTCATTTTACAAAGAGGCCCACCCCGCACTTTAGACGTTTTAATTTATAATTAAAATATCAATTCCTTTACGAAAAAATAAAATTATTAAACAATAAAAATAAAAAATCAACAAAACTTATTCTTTTAAGTATTTTTTTTATATCAATTCATTAAACCTTACAATTTTAAACCTCACTATATATCGTAAATAACAACGTCCGCTAAACTCCTTCTAAACGCGTTTTCGTAATTATTAAAACAAACAATAAAAAAACACATTCCTCTTTAATCAATATAAATAATTTTCTTTAATTCATTAATTAATATAAATTAAATACAATAATTATTAATTCAATCACAAAAAAATATATAAGAATACTAATACTATTTCAATTAATAGAATCAATATATCAATTAATAAACATATTATTAATCAATAATTTATTTAATATATAATTTAAAATTAATTAAAATATACATTTAAAATATACAAAATTAATTTCTATATAAATAAAATGATTAAATATATTACATTATATTACCCATAAATATAAATCAATAATGGTAGATCCCAACATACCAATTCTATAACGGTAATTAAATTTAATTATATTAATTTTATTTAGCTCTAATTACTATTTTCCTTTTGCGGAGATCCTTGGACGACGATTATTACATCTGTTTATACCGATATATTTTGATAATTCTTTTTTGACGGACCTTGCGATGAATGGCATTTCTTCATGTTGCTCCTGCAAAAAGCACCTTGCAACAAGATTGAACATCCATGCGTACGAGCCCACGTGGGCTGCCAGAAAGGACAGGGTAAGGTCAAATTCAGATTCCTTTGCGAATTGATTAGCTACTCAATTCCGGAAAACAACGAAGAGGGATGATATGCTTCTCGTAAGTGGATATGGCTTCACGTAAGTGGATAATAAGACCTTGCCCCTGGGAGCACGGATCCGGACCCTATTGGATGGCATCCCCATGGGCATTCGCAACTCTCTACAATGCTTGGCCCCGAAGCACTTTAAGGATCATAACCTAGGAGCTGGGGCGAGCCGAGAGGTGTCAGATTGCTACCTCGAGCTGCATTGTCGATGATGCGTTACTTGCCAGAGGCTTAGGTGATGACGCAATAAAAATCCCTATGGTGGTCCTTAAGGGGTTGCTCCGTGTCGTCCTTGCCCGATTTAATTGCCCGATTTAAAAATACCCAGAATTATCTAATTATACCCAACCCACCCTTCGAGGACTTCGTCCAAGGAAATAAATCGCTTCCTAAAACGGGAAAATGCCGTAGTTGGGTACAAAGCCAACTACAAATAGGCCAACAAATAAAACATGCAAATAAATAACATCAACCCATTAAAAAGAATAAACAAATAATGCAATAAAGAACTGCACGACCAGCGGCCAACAACTACCAAAGGTGTTTAGTCGTCTCCAACCACGCTATTATAGAAAACAAAAAACATCTATGTAAACCGCGATATCCACACCTAACGCGGCAACAAAGGCATAAAAAGCAACATCATACGCACCAACACGTTTCAAAAATTGTAACTAACAAGCTAAACAACGCAATCCAAGGCTTCCATACCCAATGCATCATTAAAACAATAATATTACTATAAATAGTAGAAAACAACAAAAATTGAATATACTTATTTGTAAATAACATATCATTCTATATATATAAATAAAAGACATATATATATATATATTAACTTAAATAAATTCAATCGATCAAGTCATGAATAGATACATAATTTTGAATTTACGATTGAATTTGCATATTTATATCGATATGATATAGAACTTCTGAATATATTATGCACCTTTGAATGTGATGAACTTATTAATCTACAGTAATTATATCCTTTCCTCTCCCTTCCCCATTCATTTCCCTATTCCCCTTCCTTATTGCCTCCCTGCCATCCCTGCCTTGCGCCCTGTTTACCACTACGAAAGGTTCCGCCTGGAGGGGTAATGTCGCCTCCACAACGAATGCAGCCGTTCTTGATGCCTTTGACACGGACATGCATGATGATCCTTCCAAACGATGAATAGTGCTGAGGCTCAGCAATCCCTTGACCTTGTGCCATTGTCACTCAGGGGTGCGGTCACCCCAGGGTTTTGAACGCTGTTCAGAGCCCAGCTGGGAACCTTTCTGCCCCATTGAGCCTCTTGATCACCAACATTGCTCCAATTTTGATCTGCTTCGATCCGGACAAAGCCAAAGAGAGCTAAACCTCCGTGACTTGTGTCATGTGGCAATGCTAGTCAAGCCAGACTCCTAAGTGTGCGCGATTGTACTTTTGTTTGTCACGTCACGCGCTGGTACTTTTGTTGCTTCTTGATCTTGCATTGGTGGTCTGTTTCTTTACTCGAAGCCTGATTCTTGGTGGACATGGTGCAAGTAAAAACAATACTTTTTGGCTGAGGGTTTGCTAGTGGGGGTTGTCAGCTCGGTTTATTGATAATCGTTTGCTCTGGCAAGCGTCTTGTAACACCTAACGTGCATAAACAAGTACAACATTTTCAAACAAACAACATATGTACATGCCTGCATGCATGCATGCATGCATGCATATACAGGCCTGTAGTATTTTCCACAGCGTCGGTGCAGTTGTTGCTGGTTCTCACTGTATGCTTATTAATGCTGAAATATGGTCTGCTTGGTGAATTTGACATTCTGCATTATTTATCAGTTAGTAGTTTAGACAATGATTGCCTTTTGCGTCATCCGTCCCAACCTAGCGTAGAATACTCAAATGTTTCGACTTTGACAATTCGTAACCAACCGGAAAGTGAGCATGTATTTCAGCGGCGCACCGTACTCCTCAGCATGCCTCTCTCTTGCATTCAGAGCCTCCCACCTGCGGATCTCACAACTTCTTCGAACGCAACCAAATATGCCTCTGGCCTCACGTGCTCAGCCGCTGCTCTTTCTCTCCTCAGGGAGCTGTTTGCAAGCTAGTCATCTTTTCGCTGATTGCTTGGTGTCGGGCTCTTCTTGCGCGGTTTGTCTAGTGGGTGGCTTTACATCCCGCGGGGCTGGCACCTTGCACACACTTTGTCCTTCTCCCGGGCGGACGAGTGAAAGAACTAGGTTCGGAACGAGGTTCTCAATCTTCAGCAGCCTCAGATTCGAAACAGGCGTGGAGCAGCCGGGCTTGACAGCTTCCAACATGAGGCGAGCGTCTTCCTTTCATCCCCCAAATCAACTTCGTATCTGCCAGCCTTTCCAAGCAACACTCTGCCACAAGCTCCAGCACCAGCCTTTCAGAACTACATGCCTCCTTGTTGAAGCTGATGCACCTCCGTAGTCCGGAACATGTCTCAAGTCGTGCAATGTGTAAGTGCAGGAAGCCCAGAAACTCAACTCGGCCAGCCTTCCTTTCCTTCCATTTAATTCCTCCCCAGCATTGAGCCACTGGTCAAAAACAAATTTTTCGCTTTACCGCAGCCTTCGTCTTGAGGTTCTGGAGGAAAACCACTGCACCTGAAGTGGCACTTTCTCGTCTCTCAAGCCTCTACATTCTTTTGCTACACTTGACGGCAACCGTGCTCAAATGGTTGCCCCTGGCCTGGATGGAAGCCCTTTTCCCAGCTGGTGTGAGTCCTTGTCAGGCGATTCAACAGCATTTTCATCTTTTGGGTTCCGCTGCATTCTTCTCTGCTAGGCATTGCTTGGGGATGAGGCCCCAGGGGGCGTCCAACTGGCTTTCCGTCAGTTTGTGCAGATGTGGAGTTGCTTGCCGCATACCTTGCCAGCACGTGAAGGCATCAAAGTCAGCATGCCTGCTCAACATGCTTCTGGTGTGCGCTTTGACTAAGGGAAGCTGCTCGACACGCGCGGCTTCCCATTCCATATCGACATCCTGGAAAGGCACAGAGTCGCAAACTCGCAAACCCTTGCACTTGACTCACTTTCCACTTCGTGCCTGAGAGGCATGCAAATTGCTTTCTCTGATGGCCTTTTTCTCACCATTGACCTCAGGAAGAAATTACAAAGGTGTTTGACGCACACCCGACGAAACCGCAGCGCGTACAAATTCAACTGTCCAGCGCCCACTTTCGGAGTCCTTAACGATTAGCCTGAAACAGCCACAGAAGCTAAACCATGCTAAAAACATGGTCCGAGTGAACAAAACGCGAAACACCACGGCCTGCAAACTTGTCCGTTGAAGTGGTCTGCACTTTGCCTGGTACTTTCATGTTCCGAACCCCGAGGAAACATTTGAACACAAAACATCAAAGCATTCTCCGGTGGACTGAGCTTGCTGCAATCCATGGATCTTTGCCTTGTCTGCGATTAAGAGCGCAAAGTTCGGAATCCGGCGTGCAAACGGCCCTGCTGGGTGACATTGGGTCAAAATTAGGATCCCGCTGCCCGGTTCTTGAGCAAATCGTTGGCGTGAGCAGCTTCATACTCCTTGGGCATCGGGGGGAAACAAAGGATGCCTTTTCCACATTAAGCAAAGGCAGTTGTGCACTCCTTTCGCATCTTCATTGATGGATCCAGTTCCTCAAGTCCTCCCTTGGCTCTTATCCTGACAACTGTTCCGCAAGAGATGCTCACTGGATTGAGTGCACAGTGCCTTGTCTGGACCTTCGCCATTATGAGAAGCCTTGAGTTGTAGCACCCGCGGCATACTTTCTTCATGTAGGCACACCTGAGCCCCAATTCTCAAGAGGCGAAGCAACACAAGACAGGTTCGAGGAATTTTAAAGTTGCAGACTGCTGAGTCGTCATCACTTCAGGCGCTCCCGTCGAGTCTGCCAAATATCGCCACTCAGCCTGTGCTTATGATGTGGCACAGCAGTGGGACTACAACAGGTGGCATCTAGATTCTAGATGGCCTCTGTGCAGGGTGGGTCGAGTTCCCACCTCGAAGCAATTGCAACCTATGATAGGCATTGAAAGGCTGATTAGGGCCATCAATCTGTAAAGGCATAAACACTTAAAGCACCTCGAAGAAAGGTTTCGAGTCGCATGACCAGCCAAGCAAACCCGAGACATGCAAGAGGAATGTAGGTGATATCATTAGCTGGGCACCCTTAGACATCATGACATCAAACATCACAACGACGGCACGGCAGCTAGTGGCTTTTGTCGCTTTGTCAGTCAATTGCAACTTTTCTGTCGCACTTTCTTGAGGATATGTTTCTAGGTTGGCAGGGGTACGATCGCAGCAGGACTGGACGTACTTTGAGGCCTAAGGATGCTTGTCTGGCCTGAGCGGGTCCCATTTCCATTCTGTCCCGCTTGGGTCCTTGGACAGGGATATGGCATGGGAAAAAGGGTCAGACTTTGCCAAGTGAAGCTACAAACCTGCCTCGCCACAAGCTGGACAGGGCATAACTCTGTGACACCCGGTCAAGCATTCAAAGCAACAGGTGCTTTTTCAAGACTATGTGACTGCATAGAAAAAGTATACATTGCCTTGTTGGACGAGTCTCTTGACCATGCCTGTCTAGAGTCTAGAATTTTCAATCAACGCGTCAATGTGGTCAAGGTTTGCGGCCAAATAGAACCTAAACGACCGCGTGCCTATCATGCCAAATGGCACATGTGCGGCCAAATGCAAAAACATCTTCTTGCATTTAGGAAGGTCACATCCTATTTTTTCTGATTTGTGCAGGACTTGGCTGAAAGCATGGTCCGGAATTATTGTGTTAGCCACTTGGCCTTCACAAACTACACTGCCGAGTGCAAACGTGTTCAAAATTGAATTCGGAGCAAGACCCCACCAGGATCCTTGGGAGGTTGCCGCTAGAGACGCTTGCCATCTGGGATGCGCTGCAACGGCGAAGGCTTCAAAGTTTGTAACATGCTCGACAAACTCCCTCCCTCAAGCAGCAAACGCTGCTCTGTCTAAACTGCACTGAATTGTGAACATGAGAAACAGGACCTACAGATCTTTGAGATCTGAACATCTAATTGGAGATTCTTGAGCCTTTTCAGGATCAGGACTTTACGTATGGCACTCTCCGTGCATGAACGGGCGGCTTTGCCGGTTGCTGCACGCTGCAAACACATGTCGCTTCAAAGGCTGCGCATGTGCAAATTGAGGAATGGTCTGGGGTGTTAAATTATGGAGCACGGTCATCGGTCAAGAAGTCCCAAAGCTGGCTTTCGCCTAACACAAACCGAACTGGACTCCAGACTGCCACTGGAAGTCTCTTTAAGGCCCACGCAATCCGGCCGAAACCTTCCTGAGAGTACTTCTTGCGGATGGCCTGCAGGTTGCTCCTGTGCAGGCGCTCCACAATGTCACAAGCTCTCTTCGATCGGCAGTCGGCATAAGACCCCTCCTTCCGACTGACTCAAGGATTCCGCACAACTCTCGAGCACAAGCCTGGACATGTCTGAGCTTCACCGAATCCACTTGAGAATGAGTCGGGGCTTCCGGACTTCCGGTGACCTATTTTCCACTCCGCCTTAATTTCCGCCTCTGAATGTTTGCTGAATTGTGCCATGGACCTCAGGTTCGCTCGAAAATCTGGGCAGAACCTTCTGACTGCAACCTGTCAGTGTCCTGACATAGATTGGGCCCCGACTGTGGCCATGTCGGCAATTTCAGAAGCTTGTTGCCTCGTTGTTCAAATTCTGACTTTGCGCTTGTGCATTTGGGCATGTTTTTGCACCAAATGAATGAACCAATGTACCGGAACACCTGGTGCGACTAAGTGCAGCTCTCAGAAGTGCTGCAGCTGCTGCAATGTGAGACGGCCTGAGGTTCACATGCACGCGACTGTGTGCTACATTGCAAGCGCCGTGAAAACTCAAGAACCAGCACATGCACATGCTGAGCTCATCTCGTATACTGTAGCATTTGTACTTCGAGAAGGGAAAGCTCTGCCAAATAGTGCATCAAATGTGATTGCTCCTGTTTCGATGGCTTTGCTGAGAAGGGTTGATTCACGTTGATTGATTCATTTATTTTTGGGGCACATTCTCAGGCCTCTGGGCAATGGTTGGCCCGAACAAATCTATCGAGGAAATGTGCTGCAGTAGGGCCTAGAATCGAATCGCCAACGTCAACAAAGAATTGTGCATTCCCCTTCTGACCAGCTTGGCCGCGGACCGCACAGCTCAAAGTTCAGAGTCCGAAGCATTGCAACCTCTGTTGCACAATCACTAGCTTGAACAACTGGAGGCAGCTCGGCGGCCTCCATATTCAAGATGTCATCTTTTGTGTAGGCGTTGTCCGTGATATAAACAAAATCTTTGACCTCTGGCGGGTAGATCTCCTGACAGCAAGCCCCACAAGTTGTGTTGATAGCACACTGTTGGATGGTCTTGGCTCCTCAAACTTTGCAGCGATGAACATGGCCGCAACCCCGCAAAGCTGAAGGCGCTTTCGTGCAACTTGCCTGGCGTGCCACATAGCTTGCCATCTATGCACCGTGGCTGTGAAAAGTGGCAAAGTGATGCCTGAGGGAGAGGTATCTGTCGATGAGGCTCACAGCCATAAACAGGGTCTCCCTTCTCAGCCGGTACTTCATGTGGACCTGGAAAAGAACGCTGGCCAAGAATGTTCATGGGATAAAGACTTTGTCAACTTGTGCCTCGACAAGCCAATCAACAAGAATGGCCCTCATCTTTGCATTGATCTCCCGCTGCTCTGTCAAGTAGTGTGGCCTTGGTTGATTGTGGTGCCCTATCACTGCTGCAGCTGGTGCCTGCAACAACAAACTCTGAGGCACCTGCCAAGGTAGCGTACCGGTGCACATTTTTGGTGTTTCCCTCTTTCTCTCTCTATCGTGCTTGCTCAGTGTGAGACCTGGGCTGAAAGGCACCTTCAATGGATGCCATATGGGCGTAGATGTCTTTGACATACTCTGTCACATGTTGAGGGTCCTACAAAAAACGAGCAAGTTGCAACATCAATGCTTGGCTTACATGATGAACTCGAGCAAAAGAATAGAAACAACTGACTACTGGAAGCAGTTCGCATCCTCCATCTGCATGGGGTCACCTTCAATTGCTACATCCTCGCAAATGAACGGCGAGTAACTAACTCTCAAAAGCAACATTCCTGAACACATTCAATGTGAAAGTTGCAACAGAAAACGGACACAAAAAGCTGTCCATGAAATCACCGCAGGCTGGACGAATGAAGCGAGCATGTTCCCTCGTATGTGCCTAGGCCACAAACGCTTGCCAACATCTAAGTAGTTTGGTCTTCACCGACAATGTCTGACAAATGATCCCCAACAAACTTCCACTTGCAATTGCCAGCTATCCATCCTTTGACTGATGCACATGAGCCCACGTTTGCATGATGGAACTTGATAAGCCAGCAGGCCAAAGTTGGACTTCCAAGAACGGCAATACTTAGCCGACTAGCAGGAGACCTATCATTGGCATGGCTCAAATACAAGTTGCATTGGCCAAATCATAACTTAACAAGTTTACATCAAGTCGCACTGAACTACGGCCTCCGACTACATCTGGCCTAGAATTCCCATGAATTCACGAAATCGCCCAGAAGCCCCATTGAGGCCCTTTGTCAATTCCCCTCTGGTCATGATAGCCTATTTCCTGTGACAAGGCTGTAACGTACCGCCTGGCGGTCCAAGCGGCAAATGAAGGAAGGCTTGGCTTCTCAGATCCCAAGACTTTGACACCTGTCTCTGTCTCTCTAATCGTGCCCCTCTCCCTCTCTTTCTCTCTTTCTCTCTCCCCCATGTGCAACAAGGCAAGGCCCAGTCCAGCAGTAGTGAGTGGCCCAGTGTTGGTGATATCTCCAAGCACTCCGTTGCGCCGTGGCTGACGCACCTGCAATTCACAAATTGAAGATGCCAAAATCTAGCTATATAACTCATCCTGTTTTGTATACTCTCTTCTGGACGGCGCCGGCACTCTTATGAGCTGGTGTGACATTGTTCAGGCCTGTGGCTGCATGGGCATAGGCAGCAGGTTCAGATGTGCCGACTTAGTGCAAGAATCTAACCAAGGCACTGGTGGTCATGCGGCTAAATGTGCTTAGTTGCCGTAAGCATCAGCTTAGTGCCAGGCTCGAATATGATTGTGGTCGGGAACAGATCGCATCATCCGAGAATCGACCTTGCAAGTCAGGGCAAGTCAGACTGAACAAAGCTATGGAAGACTCCATTGCAGGAGAACATAGCAAAGCACTGCAAAGTAAGAGTCAATTGTCCATCAACCGAGACAAGCACAAGCGCCACGAGTGCAAGCTCTCTTGATTTGGCTGCGGTTCGGCCGCAGGCTTAAGGATGTTGAACATGTAACATGCATGTGCTCATGCGCTCATGTGCACAGACTTGCAAACGCTTGGCCACACATTCATGCAAATTCACTAGACTTATATATATATATAATTCCATGTCTTTTTCCAGCCGTCTCATCTAGTGCAAGTTGCCTCTTGCTTTGTACAATAATCGCAGCATGCCAAAACAGAACAAACAAATACAACAAAATATGACAGTCGTTGGATGTCGTTGGCAACGCAACCCCCAATCATTTACAGTGATGTGTTGCGTCCAGGGCTCCCCAAGCTATTGATCAAATTAGCATGCTGCTTCGGAGACTGGTCAAAGGCACATATTCACTTGATCTTCAAGCTGACGCCTTTGTAGGAAAGAGTCGACATAAAGAAAAGCCGGACTCGTGTCTGTTTTGCAGTTTTGCGCACTGGAAAACATGCCTTGCCTATACAATGCTTCCACAAAATGTAGGCCAATTTGACCATTCATGACCGTCCTCTCATCAAGTTAAACTTGACCCGGCCTAGCTGCTTTAGTTCGCCTGAACTGGCGTGGCTGGATCTTGGTGTGGCATCTTGGGCAGGTCGGGCGCAGAAAGCACCGCCTGTAGCGGTTCCGCTGCCGTTCTGTCTATGCCATTTTCACCGTGATCTTGCACTTGCCTCTCTGGCACATGTGGCTGGTTTGCTTGCTGCTGCGACTGCTGTTGCAGCTGCTCCTGCGGCGAGCTCAGCATCTCTACCTTTTGCGCCTCTTGCAGTCCGCGTTGCTCTAGCTGCTCATTGAGCGGCTGGTGCTCTTGCATCTGGGTGCCTGATTGAGAATGCTGCGCCATGGCGCTGTGCATATCCTGACTCTGCTGCAATATCGGAGGTGCAGTACTTGTTGAAGGTTGCTGTTGCTGCAGAAAGTCCTGCGTGGGTTGTGGCGGTTGAGCGTGTTGGGCTTGAGGTTCTTGTGTCGCTTGGCTTTGGGGGCTTTGAGCTTGGAATTGTTGCTGTGGTTCTTGAATTTGTTGTTGCGGATGAGTGAGTTGTTGGGACATTTGCTGAGTCTGGTGTTGCTGCCACTGCAACTGTGGATCGCATTGCTGAAGCGGCACTTGTTGCTGACAATACTGCTGCTGGTCCAATTGCTGCTGGAATTGGGGCTGGCCCATTTGCTGCAGTTGCGGCTGCATTTGCATCTGAGACTGCATCTGCATCTGTGGCTGCATCTGCATCTGGGGCTGCATCTGCATCTGAGGCTGCATCTGCATCTGAGGCTGCATCTGCATCTGGGGCTGCATCTGCATCTGGTTCTGCATCTGCATCTGAGGCTGCATCTGCATTTGAGGCTGCATCTGCATCTGGGGCTGCATCTGCATTTGAGGCTGCATCTGCATCTGGGGCTGCATCTGCATCTGGGGCTGCATCTGCATTTGCTGCTGCAGCTGCATCTCAGGCTGCTGCATCTGCATCTGGGGCTGCATCTGCATGTGAGGCTGCATCTGCATCTGCATCTGAGGCTGCATCTGCAACTGGGGCTGCATCTGCATTTGCATCTGCGGCTGCATTTGCATCTGTGGCTGCATTTGCATCTGCATCTGGGGGTGCACTTGCATCATTTGCGGCTGCATTTGTCCTGCCCGGCTGAAAGTAAGGCAGCTGGACACCACCCCCGTACATTCACAACTGCATACAGGATGCTGAGGTGGACACCATATGGATTGAACCTCATGTCCGCCGCGTAAAGTCCTTGCTGTGGCCTGGGCGAAAGAATAATATGCAGTAGCACTGCAGTGGGCAAAATAGCCACTTGCCGCAAATGATCATTGACAACACAAGGTGGTGATTAGGGCACACACCCATAGCCGCCTCTGCCCTTGGTCATTTGGACATATGCGGATTTTCAATCGATGACAGGAGCGTTTTGGACCCTTTACTGTAGGTTCATTGGACTCTTTGAAGTGTCAAGTAACACTGCAATTGCGTCTCAATGTTGTAAGATCTGCGATTCCAGGTGTTGAACGGGCTGGCTCTTGGAGAACATTACCACCACAGATTGGCTCATGCCTAAGTGCTCAGTGGGCGAAGGACTAGTGACTAATGTAGAGGATTTGTTGTGGAATCTCTGTTTTGAGTTTCTCCCTCTCTCTCCTTCTCTCCACGCCTTGGGGGATGTTGCCATTCATGTTGCTGACTAGCCATTGGGCGACGCTTGGATCTGCCATCCTTGCAGGAACTGTAAACCAGAATTATTCTCTGAAATCGGATGGTAGCACAATCACAACTTGGTCCTCACTAGCGCTGCCCTGTCGCCTTTTCCATTGTCAGGCAGCACCTGCATCATCAGTGCTTGGATGACGTGCCTCTCTGTGCAACTGAGCAGCCTTCAACTGCTTGACAATTCCATACTGGCCAAACACGGTGTAGAGCAATTCCTCCGTGATGTCCTTAAATGTGGGTGTGCGTACTCCGGCCCAATGCACTTGCCGCTAGCTAGCACACTCAAGATGACCTTTCGAGGACCAGTCCAGAGGGAGTCCGCCTACAAACAAGTTGTTGGCCATGTCCATGCCTCCGCCTCGATGGACATTGAAACAAACCTTCGACTCACATTTCACTCTGCTCGTGCGACCTTGCCGGGCTTGACCATCTGGCCTTGGCTCTGGCCGGACCACATGAGAAAATTGGGACAAGTGCTGGGCCAAAATTCTGAGGCAATTGCAAGGGTCCTATTGCGCCAGAACACTTTGTGCATTCCCATTTCCTGGAATGTCGGCCGCTGCCGAAACGGCCAGGAAACTGCCAAGGGCATGCGTTCAAGCGGCACTCGTTGAGCATTGAACCGGGCCTCCGCTGCACCAGCATCAATGCTTTCACAGCGATTCGATATGAGTACAGCAGTTGAAAACCCAGCTTTGATTCAAGTTTGAAGTGCCTGCAGTATGTCGCTGTATCAGTATAGTGCACACAATGCAATGCCAAAACGCACTTTAGCATGATTTCGCATCCTTAAAAACGCAATGCCATGCAGGTTCCCTCTGCTGCGGCCTCAAAAACCACCGCGGCACCCAGTTCCAGGTCCCTGCCTGAAACTTCTGCTTTGTAGGAAAGCCAAAACAAGCCAAACACATGAGGCAGCAAAGGGCAGTCTTGTATGATTTGTGATTCAAACGTGGCAGCTTGTCCATCCACCAGCTGGTTTCGGTGGACGAACCTGGGTTCGCCAGCAAAGTGAAGCCCAGGTGGCACAAGGACACAAATGAGTTTGAGACACTTCAGTCCCATCGTCAGCGATGAGGAATCCAAACCCCTTTTCCTCTTTCCATGCTTTGACCTTCGCCATGGGAGCTAATGTTTCACCATAATGTGCTCTGTCCGTTGAAATGTGGTGCCATTTTGGCGTCCAGTCCTTGCCCTGAAGCTCTACGTTGGGCTGAATCGTCGAGCCTGTAGCTGCAAACATATCACGGACGACTTATAACGATAAGCTCATCACGCAAAACTGACACCAGCCTTCTGCGTTTGCGTCCGCAAATGGTGCTTGAGGTGGAGGCGGCGGATTTATCAAGGGAGGCCTGCAATTCACAAAAAGACACAAAGACATTGAACGTGATATGGCACATATTGGCACATTGAACTTGGTATTGTTCTTAAAACATTGTCATCCCTTTTTGGTCTTGTCCCTGAATCCCTGGACCTTGTCTCTTCGGCTCCTGAAGGGTCCCCACTTTGGTGACCTCCGGGCTCCATGGATTCCATTGTCCAGTCTCCCAGCTCGGTTGGTACTATTGGTTTTGGCCTTGCGGCGCGCTGCTGCGTGACTTTCCCATTGAACATGTGCAGTGTACGGTATGTTTGAATTTGTTGCGCGGCAATCCAACACCTGGTACACTCGGTTTGTCTTTTTGTTGTCTGCATGTGTCGGATTTTGCATTCCTGAAGTTGGCCAAACAATCTTTTCAGCATGTCCAACATGCAAGCACCAAATCAATCTTGAGCCAAAGAACATGCCCATTGGTTTCGGAGGTGTGACGAAAATAATCTCGCAATTGCACCGAGACAAAGCAGTAATAGCAACGAGGTTATGTATTTTTGAGCATTCTGGTTGGGCAATGGCACAGGCATGCCCAAAAGCAGAAGGGTTTGGCCGCAAGTTTCTGCCAACAATGTCGCAATCTTATTATTATGACTCTTATTTTTTTTTGTGTGTGTGTGTGTCCACTCCTGTTTCCAAGGACACTACCCTAACTCTTTCTAACCTACCCTATGATTTTCCTGACCACTGTGCAGCAGCAGGGGGGCAACGGCCAGTCTTCTTACGTTGCCCAACGAAGCTACAGAAGACTGGTGGAAGCATTCAGGGACGCCTGAATGTGTACCTGCTCTCAATGGTTTAAACCATGATTTGTTACAACAATTCTGTTCGTCCGACTTTGCACCTTTTTTCAGTCAAGGTCTAATCTGCAGTAACTCTAAAGGGCTAATGCACACCACGAAGCAGCCTGAAATCGCGCTCCACGGAGCAACCTTCTCAAGTGTGTGGCTTGGCCACCCCAAGCTTCACTTCCTTCACTTGCATATTGCATCAATTTGCATCATTAAGCTGGACAGGTTCCATGCGCAATACCCTTCTGTTTTGCATTCTTTGCTCTCAACGGCATCGAGGACTCAACCGTCACAGTCAAGCTGCTGTGAAATGGCACGCTGCAGGATTACCGGCCCCGAATTGTCTTGGGCCTCCTTGCTTAGGAGTCTTTGCAGAGTCCTTGCAGGCCTTGTTGATGAAACACACTGTATTTGTTTTTTCAATGTTGATATTGCATCCTACATTCTCTTTAAGCGGATGTGCCAAACCATCTCAAACCAAAAATGCTGTTGTGCTCCTGCTGCTGCTCTGTTCATTGTATCATATTGGATCCGGTTACTAGTTGCTGCACCAACGAGTGAAACATGTCTTGGTAAAACTGAACTAGGCCGTTGCTACTCGGAAGAACTGTGGTGCTTCGAACCCTGTGCTCTCACAGGACAAGAGTGGTTAGGAAATAACTTTCTTTCTTGAGGGCCATTTCCTGCCGACCTTGCCAAGGCTTCGTAGATGACAGTAATTGATATAATTAATAACAACGGTGAAACTTGAGGGCAAATGAACAAACGCGAGCTCTAGAGGTTCGGAAGTGGGTCGCCTCTGGAGTGGTAGGCGGAGTGCTTGCTTTAACATATTACATGCGGTTTTGGGTGGGGAGGCTTAAACATGGTTACACTATGCAAAAGCAAAGGCGCCAAACCAACATGAACAAACTTCAGTGGTGCGTTTGCCGGTTTGGCGCTGAGGATGGGGAAGTCATATGATATGCCGCACCGATTGCCAAAAGTTCCGAAGGTCAGCACGCTGCCTTTTCAATTTCTCATGACGGATCAGGCCATCGGAAAATACAACCAGGACGAGGACAGAATGGACCTGAGGCCCACTACTGGCGGCAAGCATGCCAATGCATGAAGAGTTTTGCTTGCATAGGCTACCTGGCTACCTTTCAGACATTGATAGCATTGGTGCTTTCGCAAAGTGTAGCAAAGGCCTCCCAACATACAAAAAAAATGAATCTGGTGGCCTAAAATCATCGCTGGGCCAACCTTCGCTGTAAGGCTCGTTCTTCACGGTGTTGATTGGCCTCCAATGCTTTATGGTGCTCATTTGTCAAATGGACGTTGGTCAATTGCCGAACTCTAAAATAACCCTGACACCTCCACACATGCTCAGCAAGAACACAAAAATGCACACCCTACAACAATTCCAGTTGATCTTCAGCTATTCGAGACACCTAACCACCCCTCGAAGGAACAACTTGAATCTTTTCGGTCCTGCATCCGTTCTGACGGACAGCAAAGAGGAGCCATGTGGTTTCACCACCGGCGGCAAAACATCAATGTACATCAATGATCTTGGTAGGCCAGGAACCAGCCTGAGCCAGGATCCCTTTCCCATCAAACTCGAAGCACTTCACTGAATTCTGCAGCCTGTCCCACGTCAGTCCCACGGCAGCTAGGTCGATGCTTAGCAAAATTCAGCACTCACAACCTTATCTTACCTACAGGAACATCCAGGCTGATCGTGCGCTTACGTGGCCCTGAGGGCATCTCCTGATCTTGATCTTCAACCATGACATTCTTCCGCTCGGCGTACTCTGCCGCCATGAAATTCGCCAGACTACTAGGTGAGTCGGTCTCTACTGTGTTCGGTGGGAGGCGTGCAAGGGTCATTGTGAGCACTGCAAGAAACATGAGAGATGCCCCAATGAGGGTGATGACCTTCGGCAACTTCCCAAAGGCGAAAATGTCCAGGAGGTAGCCAGTAATCATCTGCCCCCCAGTAAGTAGAGTGGCGGTTAAGGCTGCCGGGCAAAGTTTGGACGCAAGACTCGATAGCCAGTTGGCCAGCAGGAGCACTAAGAGCAGAAGCAAGAAGAAGAGCATACTTTTCGGTGGGGACTCAGCCAAAGACTCGATGTTTCCGTCAGCCTTACCCAGAAGCAATGCTGTGGCCCAGCATGCGACCACACGCTGTGCCATTGCAGAGAAAGTGAGCAGCGTGGAAGAAGCCTGGCCTGCTTTACGCGCACTGATGAAAACGAAGCCGAGGGTAATTCCAGCCAAGAGAGCCAGCAGATTTCCCAACAAACTTGACCCCATGCTGGCCAAAGCCTCTCGTGGATCACTAATCAGCACTGCACCCACCAAGAAGAGGAGGATGGCTAGCACATGCCATTTGCCGAGTGGCTCGCCAAGCACGAGCCGGCCCAGCAACGCAGCCACCACCGTGTTTACACTCCCCAAAGCTGCCACGGAGCCTATGTGTGCGCCAGCAAGAATGGCACAAATGTTCAATACATTGTTCAAAGCACCAAAAAGACCCCGAGAAAGCACCCACTTCACCTTGCAGGAGTGGCGTTTCCGACAAAAACGCATGTTTGACAAACAGTGTAACATAACTAAATTACTCAAAACAACATATCAACCTCTGCGCATAATGCAAATTTAGCGGATTGTGGCCTGCGAACTTAAGGCTACCATACCAAGTAGTAACAACCGCTGAACCGGCCAGTGCTCAACAAATCACAGCACCACTCAAACCTCTCGTGTTTCGAGGTGATAGGACTTCTGGCACCACATCAGGATCCCCAAGCCCAATGCGATGAACAGCGATGCGAAGCCGGCCAGAAAGAAACATGGCCAGTTCCACCCTGGCAGCATGTAGTTGGTACGGGTCCATGCAGCAGGCAAACCAGCTTGCATTAGCACGATTGAACAACATGGATAATCACAACTAGAATTTTAATTTGCATGGGGGACCACAGCCATTCGTAGTACTTCAACTAGTGTTGGAACCCTTCACGTAAGCCTTGCATCAGCTTGCCCGACACCATCACCAAGTTTGTAAAAAGTGCGGCTGCCAAAGCCGCCGTGATGCCCCGAGCTTCAGTTGGGATTTGCATGGCAATGTGGCAACTTGTTGTCGGAACTAGAGGAGTGGTTTGAGCCAATGCTTTCAGCAAGTGTCAATGCCATCAAACAGTACCAAACCCGATCTGATGGCACATGATGGCATCAAATGCGGCATTCGAAACCCCATTTGCTGTACCATTCGTCAGTCACACCAACGTAAAAACTTCCAACTTTTCTACCGCAACTCAAACCCATCTGGAACAACTTATAGGGTTCCCTTGCTGGCTGTGTCTCTGAATGCTTTTGGAACTGGCCCGCGAGGATCGATTCGGATCCTGCTGTTTTCGAAGCCTCATGGCGTGCAACCGGCCACCCAGAACGTTTCTCCGTTCCATTGCGGGACAAGTAGCATACCACGGTGAGTGCAAGGCCGATGGAGACAAACAGCTAAACGATCAAATATATAACTAATCCATAAACTCCTTGATCGGATTGCATGTTCTTGCACTTTCGATGTGACTTGGGCTGAACATGGCTGCAAGATGATCCTTTTGATCTTTTTGATTCACTTGGGTTTGCATTTGATTCGTTTCGATTTCCTTTTGGTTCCTTTGGTTTCCTTTTGGTTCCTTTACGTTCCTTGGATTTCCTTCAGATTTTTTCCCACACGTCTTTTTCCATTTTGGTGATTCCTATTGGTTTCCTTTTCATTTCCTTTTGGTTCCTTTTGATTTCTATTTGATTTCCTTTTGGTTCCATTTGATGGTATCTTTGCGTTTGATTTCCTTGTAACTCATTTGAGAAAAAATCAAAATCAATAGCTGTGGTTGCTTCTGAACAGCTGATCGTGCCTCTTGCCGGTGCTGCTTTGGCAATTTGCCTGTCTTTTACTGATTGTTTCCTTGTGGCTTGGGAAAGGGGTTTATGTGGTGTCGTCGCCGTCGAATCGCCACAGGAGGTTCAAATTTTACGTTTCTACTGCTGATCAGATGTTGCCCGCCTTTGGTGGGCGTGGTGTGGTGGCATTCTTTTCGAAACGCGCAGGCATGCCCCGTGACAGTGCAGTGTGTGTTCCGAGTCGGGCTATGTACACCCGCCGTCCCCTCAACTATTTAAAGCGGTAGCCGGGAGGCAGGGCGTCTGTCACGGCAGCCGGCGATATAGGAATTGACAGGGCCATTCACATATGAATATATAGGACTGGCCCATCACAACGCATCACAACGGTTAAAGTCACCAGTTGGGAAACGGATCACATAATACTTGCGGACGTCCTGCCAGTATGACAAAACCAAATACCATGCCCAAAGGGAAAACATAACCGATTCAACAACACCCCTGAGACATGTTGAAACCATGGAATGCCGAACGTTTTAACACAACGTGTGACAACATAAGTGAACGATGGCGACGGCATTGTTTTGAAAACGCAATTATTGGTGCCTTTACACACCACCGTCACACAGCGTTTCCAAGCACAACCAAGGCTGCCAACTTATGACCCAGGACACCATTGAGGCATGAACAGCAATACAAAAGGATCGAGTGGGGACACATGGGGAAAACACACCGGTAGCTGCTGCATGCCAATATTGACCGGCCCCACAAATAGGGCTTTGAACGACAGTACATCAAATCCAGAAAATGAGGCCTGTGACGGACAATGCGTTAGAGTGGGGCTTTTGTCAGCCACACAACCGCATCAACCACCGACAGCTTCAAAAACCCGAGTTGTTTGTGCAAAGAAACGGTACTGCAACCGGGGGGGTGCGTCTCTTCGACACAAACTGTGCGCGGCCCGGGTGGGACGGCTACAACTGGACTAAAACATGAGGAGGCTCAAGGACTCTTCACGACAATCTCTGGTCATGGCAACGGTTTTGGGTTTACTACCTGCCAAAATGATATTCTGATATGAAATGTAAAGATATCTCATGATATTTCAAGCACTTGGCAGTTCAGTTTCGGGCACGTCTTCCATACAAAAAACATCTCCACAAAATATCCGCACGATTGCCAAGATGATCAAAATCGCGGAATGTTCACGACATCTGGCGACACATCTCTTGTAAATCAAGGTCGCGCATCTTTTCTTTCATCCTTTGCACACCGCCCGTGGGTCCACAAAACGATTAGAGGAATGATTGAATGAATGAATGACATAATCTATAAATAGATCAGCTCCACGTCCCCGACATCCCCCTCGTTGGTTTATGATTCAATGGATGATTCCACCAAATTGCACGGGGCATCCCCTGTGGAATTGCCGGTGTGCCGTGGGACTTGACTGTATCGTGAGAAAGTGAGAATGCTGAAAACCAGGTTCCGAATGCAGTTTGCCCCACTATAGTCTCAAGAGTCCACTTGCTGCAGTGCTGGAACATAGAGTGCCTCATATGCTTGGGTGTTCATCATCACCAAGACATGATAGCAAAAAAAAATGTGGGGACATATGAAATATGATGTTTTTTGGAAGATACATGGTTTATCTTTGAAGGGCACCCCTCTCACCCCTTCAGGAGAATGAATTTATTTAACCGAGGCCCTCGGACATAGATTTCAAGAAATTGTCTATGCCATCACCATTTGTCAGACAATTGTTGAACAATCAAGGTTCAGGGGCCCCCTACCAAAAAAAATCAGGAGCAATCATCGACAGCAAATGTTCATAGCGTTCCTTTGCCGGAACATGAACACCTAACGACCCAATACTTTATCCTCTGCACTTTTACCCAGGGGCGTGAAACCTACTAGGTCCTACTAGGCTTGTTGTTTTTGCCCCGACACCCACCAGCCTGCCAGTTGATGGGGGCACTTTGGGCAATGCTTTCGGCTACTTTCCGCGTGAAGAAGCAATGAGAAGCAACATCTACTGCAACAAGAGCCCAGGCCTGCCTGCTCAGAATATCGTAAGCAATTATCCATACAATGTAGCCACAGTAGGCTTTCACATATAGACCCCCCCCAGCCAAAAAATTCACCGCTGAAATTTAACCGCAAAAAACTATTTGCAAACTCAGAGGGGGGTGTAGTCAATGTATGAAAGATATCCCATATAATTATGTTGACCTACCTGACCTCACAACACACCATCCACTCTCAAATCAATTCTCTATCTTTTACTACTCCAGACGTTAACAAATCTGATGATACTGTATGGCGTGCCCTCTCTATAGAATCAACTGCCGGTGGTTTGTACAGAATGACCGCCGGGGTTTTTCTTTGAAACAATGGTTTTTCTCTACAGAACGCTTTGTGTAAGATACCCACACTGGCCCATTGAGGGATAGAATCAACTACATGCCTGGCATCTGAAACGTAGCTGCGGCTGAGCACACATGTCAATGTGCACGCATCTTAAAACAACAGTCGTTGGCAATTTCGGCGTTAGACTAGACTGCATTAATGAATACGACAAGACTACAGACAGATTGCCAAGATACCAGAAACCCCGTGGCCACACACGATTGACATATGGATGGGATATCAAAACACCTGTGGCCACGCACAATGAACATGAACATAAAACAACTAAAACATGTGGCCGGGATAGCTAAACCCCATGGCCACGCAACATTGATACGCCTTTCTGTCCGGCGGCGCCCACTGCGATCTAGCGCGCGAGGTGCGGTGGCGCCCGCGGCATTCCAGGGCTCACGGTTGAGGTGGTGGCAAAGGAGGAGGAGGAGGAGGAGGACAGCTCTGATAACATCTAATCTAACAACCCTCACCTGGCAGGGGAGGACAATACACGGGTGTTCCGTCCACGGGGAGGAAGAAGCACGAAGAAATCCTACATCGCATGCGTGAGGCAGATTATATGGGTCAAGCATGGTAACGGCGTTCTGTCGTTTTGGGTATGCAG